AAAATCCTTACATATAGTTTTTTATAAGTGTGCTCAACTATGTTTGTGTTTATACTGATGTGTAACACCCCAGTAAAGTATTGTATAGTGTCGTATAGTGTTCAACTATACGCCATTTGCCCATCTCTAGTAATTACCCGGCAAGATCTGCTCCGCGTTTTGATTTCCAATTAAAATATTTATAATAACCAAAAATATCAATACAAATAAAAAAGTGCCTCTGGTTAGTTTCTTTAGGAGACCCAAACCAAACAAACAACAACACTCACGTTTTGTCATCTTTGGACTCTGTCAAAAAATAAATAAATTGTTTTTCCAAAAAAAAAAAAAATCAATCAATTCGCATCTGTCCCTCTCAAAAAAAAAAACCAATAGGATAAATAATTAATGTGTACGCATTGATCACACAAACTCCTTTTTTTTTTAAAATAATTTAAAAAATGTCTTTTTCAATTAAAAGAAGCAGACAAAAAGAAATAACCGAAAAAAGCAAGTGTTTTGAGAATGGTGGTGGTGGTTATTGCCTGACACTCATCGTTACTCTAGTTAACTAAGTAAAGAATGATTCATACTATATATTTTTTTTATGTCTTAAATCTATTAGTAAAAAAAAATGTTCATGCACTATCAGAAGAAAATAAAGCAAAGTAAGCACGTTAAAAGTATCATTATGAGTTGGCTGATTTATATATATCTTGCAATTGATTCTTGTATGTATATACTTTACTTTTAGGTTATTAAAAATCATCGGGACAATAAAAAAAAAATTAACAATAATTGATCACATAAACAATGATTTAATTAACTTATTATTATCGTATCCTTTTTATATTTATGGACACAAAGAATCTTTATTATATACATATTAAGTCTTAACTAATTCTTATTACATATTTAACAGAAGTGATAAGTATATTATTAAATTGGAAGATATAATGATAATTGGCTTGCTAGGTTTGTATAATTTTATTTTATTTTTTAAACAAGAAAAGCTTAAATTATTTATTGATTAATTTTTTAAATAGAAATA